CACCTGTTATGGCCGACGCCTCCAACACTGCTGGGGGGGGGAGGGGGGGTCACCCTGAGATGAGGTCCTGTGACCCCCGAAATACTCCCAAATATGAGAGACAAATGTTACTTCCTGTCTACGTGACTCCCCGTATCCAGCAGGGATGGGGGGGGGGCCCTCATAATGGGCACAGCAGGTGGGCGGAGCCGGGAACTCAGGGATGGGGGGGCCCCTCATAATGGGCACAGCAGGTGGGCGGAGCCGGGAACTCAGCACAGGGATGGTGGGAGCCCCTGATAATGGGCACAGCGGGCGTACAGACCCGGGAACTCAGCTCAGGGATGGTGGGAACTCCTCATAATGGGCACAGCGGGCGTACAGACCCGGGAACTCAGCTCAGGGATCGTGGGAGCCCCTCATAATGGGTACAGCGGGTGTACAGACCCGGGAACTCAGCACAGGGATGGTGGGAGCTCCTCATAATGGGCACAGCGGGTGTACAGACCCGGGAACTCAGCTCAGGGATCGTGGGGGCCCCTCATAATGGGTACAGCGGGTGTACAGAGCCAGGAGCTCAGCACAGGGATGGTGGGAGCCCCTCATAATGGGCACAGCGGGCGTACAGACCCGGGAACTCAGCTCAGGGATCGTGGGAGCCCCTCATAATGGGTACAGCGGGGGTACAGACCCGGGAACTCAGCACAGGGATGGTGGGAGCTCCTCATAATGGGCACAGCGGGCGTACAGACCCGGGAACTCAGCTCAGGGATCGTGGGAGCCCCTCATAATGGGTACAGCGGGGGTACAGACCCGGGAACTCAGCACAGGGATGGTGGGAGCTCCTCATAATGGGCACAGCGGGCGTACAGACCCGGGAACTCAGCTCAGGGATCGTGGGAGCCCCTCATAATGGGTACAGCGGGGGTACAGACCCGGGAACTCAGCACAGGGATGGTGGGAGCTCCTCATAATGGGCACAGCGGGCGTACAGACCCGGGAACTCAGCTCAGGGATCGTGGGAGCCCCTCATAATGGGTACAGCGGGGGTACAGACCCGGGAACTCAGCACAGGGATGGTGGGAGCTCCTCATAATGGGCACAGCGGGTGGGCGGAGCCGGGAACTCAGCACATGGATGGTGGGAGCTCCTCATAATGGGCACAGCGGGTGTATCAGTTCTGGGTGGACTGACCCTTTAAGTCTCCCCCAGGCTGTGGTCATCAGCCAATCACGGTTGTACTTCCTGTTGGGCTCAGCTCGCCAATTATAATTGTACAAATTGATCACAATTCCTGATTCCTCGTCTTTCAGTACAGATTCCGCCTTCTGATT